TAGTGACGGAAGGTGTTTCGCCATTGTCGGCCTCTGGGGGGGAGGAGGAGGAGGAGGAGGAGGAGGAGGAGGAGGAGGAGGAGGAGGAGGAGGAGGAGGAGGAGGAGGAGGAGGAGGAGGAGGAGGAGGAGGAGGAGGGAGGAGGAGGAGGAGGAGGAGGAGGAGGCGGAGGAGGAGGAGGAGGAGGAGGAGGACGAGGAGGAGGAGGAGGAGGAGGAGGGAAGGAGGGAAGGAGGAGGAGGAGGAGGGCGAGGAGGGCGAGGAGGGCGTGGAGGAGAAGGACGAGGAGGGAGGGAAGGAGGAGGAGGATTAGTAGGAGGAGGACGAGGAGGACGAGGAGGAGGAGGAGGCAGGAACAGCGAGCCCCTTCCGAATCCATAGCAGTCCTTTATTTCAGCGTCTTGGATATACCGAGCTGCATTTCTTTGAGGTCATCAGGAGTGTGTCGCGGCCAGGGCGTCTTGACGCACAGGCTCTGCCCACTCCCGCCAAAACCGCGCTAACGGCGTGCTTGGTTAACGAAGAGGTTAGGAATATGTTTTTTGTGACTCCGAGCTCACGCAGAAGAACATGTAGGACATCACGAAACACAGTTTCCTGCATTTCAGATATGCGAATGCATCGAGCGAAAGTGACACAATGAGTTTAAGAAAACACGAACCACGCGTTCCTACACGGGCCGTGGACCACTCTTTCCTACAATGTTTTTTGCACATCGCCATTAGCTAACACATCGTGAGCGCGTCTGCGGTCCTGAAGATCGGCGGCGAGCGAGGGGGGGGAGGTGAGAAGGGCAACTTGTGGGGGTTCCACGGGAAGCAGCACTCTTGCCTGCTGCAGACCGCACCCCGGGATAACTCTTTTCACAATATGCAGGCGCTGCTGCTGGTCTTCGTCCACATTCTGCCCGCACTGTCCCTCAGATCTGACGTTGCCAAACAATTGCAACATCGCGACAGATCACGACCAGAGACCTGGACCCCACATGTTCTGCATCGTTTTTCAGGCTCCATCCATCTGTGCGGGCCTGTGGCCCCAAACCGGGCGAAACCACCCGTTGTGAAACAGTTGCAACGCCAGGATCTCGGGGCCTCGATCGCACCGACCTTCGCCTCCCTCGACGCTCGGGGAGGTGGCGACTTGGTGGCAACCCCGCGTGGCACTGCCTGTACACTCATCGTGCTACCATCGAGGAACGCGTAGCATCGTGCCTGTACAGTCATCGTGCTACCTATCCTCAACGAAAGGACTTTTCTCTGGGCTCGGCGGGCCTGGGCCACAAACGAGCTCCACGACACAAATCTGAGGAGCGGCCGGAAAGCCCGAGCCCCTCTTCTGAGCCCGAAGCAGCTCTTACATTCAGCGTCTTGAGACTGCACGCCGCCCCCCCCCGCCCCCTGGGGTGGCACCTTCGCTGGACCGCTCGGCACGGCGGCGCTGGTGGCCCCGCCGTGCGCCTTGCCGCAGAAGATGCAGAATCTGGCCTGGCGGCCACAGATGAGCATTCAAAGACGCGACCACCAATGCGGCGAAGGCACTGGCCGCCTGCGTGGGCCGAGGACTAAGAAGAAAAAGAAGAAGAAGAAGAAGAACAAGAAGAGGAAGAAGAAAAAGAAGAAATATAATAATAAGGATCTTATAATAAGAAGAAGCTGATCACCTGCCCATGCGTACCCTTGTGGCACGCCTTCCCCCCGATCCATGATGCCGTACGGCGTGGTGAGCACAGGCCGATCTCTCACCTGATGCGCCTCCTGCGTGGGCCGAGAGCTCACGGGGCCCGTGTCGTGAACCAGGCCGCGCGACGTGTGGTGCCCGTGGCCCACCCCGTGCGCGCGGGAACAAGCCAGCGCTGGGAGGGTCTGGCGGTGCTGCCAGGGCACTGGATGAGGAGGCACTGGATGAGAGGCTATCGAGCCCCTATCGAACTGCTGCCCCTGAGCATTGGATACCGTGGGTTCGTGTCGTGTCGACCCCGGCGTTGGTTCCTGACACTGCGGGGATCGCTCCACCTTGAACGATCGGCCGTTTCCGAAACGTCAGATCGTGCAACATCGACCGATTCTGGGTAGCTGGCAACGTTCAACGTTGAACGCCGGCGGAGGGGTCGCCACCAGTCGACACGACGCGAATCTACCGTAAGGAATTATTGGATGAGGAATCCAGGGTCTGAAAACCAGCGAAATTCCAATTGAGGCTTGGCCATGGATCTCACCGCCGCCCTCACCAAACAAAAGGATCCTTCAGGGTCTCACGACTCCTGGGCACATCCCTCAGCGAACGCCCCCACCGGAATTTGCGCTGTATTTTTTGCGGCTTCCAGAATGGGGGCGGATCACATGTCTGCGACGCCGGGATGGAGAACGGCGGGCCCTGGGTGGCACCTAGCCGGCGATGCATCGGCGATGCGATGCGACCCTCCGATCCCATCTACTCTAGCCCCTCTTGAGAGGCCGGAGATCTTACAAAGGCTTTGCAAGCCAGTGAGCCGATGTGGGCTACCTGTCCAGACATCCGATGGCTTGAGTTTTTCAACTCGGGGACCCCAGGATCCTCTACCCTCTCCCTAGGGCCGGATTGTCATTCTGAGCCGTTTCTTGAAAAGTCCTGGATTCTGGCGAGAGCCTCCAGAGGTCGAGGACGAGGAGAAACTGCCGTATTCGATTTCAACGCAGCGGGGCACGCTCGCCGCCACGAGCGGGCGAATCCTGAGCCTCCAGTCAGAGCGCACCCCAAGACAGGCTCTGCGGGGGTGGCTCAACTTTGAGGCCCATGGCCTGTCACGAGCCGAGAACATCTCCGTATCCGCGCCCTCGCAATCTGGACTCTCAAGCACGATCTCGCGGATACGCGGTTGCACGGGAACGTTCCGCGTGCGACATCCGCGCGTCCCGTCTCCGAGGGGTCGCGGCCCCGGGGGCCCAGCCCGCGAGGCCGCGGATACGGACACGTGTTTCGCCCCCTCCGGGTGGCGAGGGGAAAGAATACCCGTAGCACCCTACAGTTGCGGATCAGAGTGAGGGGGCGGCGAGGACGTCGGCAGTCTCGAGGCTCTCAAGAAGCCCGCCGCAGACGCCTCACCTTTACAAATGGTGTAGTGAGCCTGCCGCAGGCACCGACTTTTTCGTCAAAACAATGTGGGTGGGTCGCGGCGTGGATCGCGGGTGGGTCACGGGTGGGTCGCGGGCGGGTTGCGGGCCGGGTCGCGGGTGGGTCGCGGGTGGGTCGCGGGCGGGTCGCGGGTGGGTCGCAGGGTGGGTCGCGGGTGGGTCGCGGGTGGGTCGCGGGTTGGTCGCAGGTGTGTCGCGGGTGGGTCGCGGGCTGGATCGCGGGTGGGACGATGACAGCAAACAACAACACCACCACCACCACCACCACCACCACCACCACCAACAACAACAGCAACAGCAGCAACAACAACAGCACCACCACCACCACCAACAGCAATACCACCACCAACAGCAGCAACAACAGCAACATCATCAACAACATTAGCACCAACAACAAAATCAACAACACTAACACCACCACTACCAACAACAACAACACCAACACTCACAACAACAATTGTACCACCACCAACAACAACCAGAACAACAACGACGACGAGGACGACAACTACACCAACAACAACCATCCGCACCGCAGAACCGCATCTCAGCCACGCATCCAGGGACAGTGAACGACCGTTCGGCCCTTCTCACTCTGAACCACACTCTGCTATCTTCTTGCGATAGGGGCTCAACATCTCGGCCTCTGGGAGTGGCTCCCGCGGGGCAATAAACGGAACCGACCCACGCAAGGAACAAAGCCTGTGCCGGGGAAAGGGGGTCCCTGGAACTCGGGCGTCGCGATTCTTTGTCTGTAGCAGCGCGGGTCCCCATGGCTTGAACGTCTGGACCTCAAACCCCGAGACATATGTGTTCATGTAGATTTAAGTCGGGCATGTCCCTCTACAGGAGGTCAGTTCACAAATCGCAAAACAATCAAATGGGCACTTTTTTTTATTTGGCTATTTTCTATTTTTCACACGAAATCCGTCTGTAGGGGGACATGCCCGACCTAAATTTAGATTCGTTCTTGGTGGACGGTCCCGAATCCCTGGCCCGAAAACGACACCAACAAACTCGCGTCGTGTTCTGTTTGTCCGTGAATGCGGTGAGGTTCCTCGCTCTGTCCCTTCGCCTTCCTCCTCCCCTCCCCTCCCCGCCTCCCCCTCTCCCTCTTGAAACGACGGAATGTTGCCGCCCACCCTCGCGCGCCAATTGCGCGAAGCTTGCAAGTGGCTGCCAGCCGAGGCTCAGTGACACTTTCCATGTATGCATGTGCACATGTCCTGCCGACGCGTCGTCAATGCGCGGCTCTTTGCTTGCCTGGAGGAGATACAATACAAACAACCGCTAAGAGATCGGGCTGTAAGACACCTTGGGGCGCATTTTCTTACCATGTGAACGGGGCGCCCCGCGGCCGGAGGAGAGAGGAGGAGGAGGAGGAGGAGGAGGAGGAGGAAGGAGGAGGAAAAGGAGGAGGAGGAGGAGGTGCACCGAATTAACTAATTTAGTCTGGCGGCCCGGCCCGGGCCCGCAGCCTCACCTCCAGAACCGCGCCAGGCCTGTCGTCTTTTTGTTGAGGGTCCCGAGGGCCTCCGTGGGACCCGAGGGGCCGTCGGGGGGCATGCGACACTCCGCGGGGCACCTGCGGGCAGGCCGATGCAGTTTTCGTGGTGCTTTTGCGACCCCTCTCTCCCAAGCTGCCGCCGACCCTGTTTTCCACCTCGGACGAGCCACCGCCCTAGGTCCTGCAAGCCCCCTTCAGGAGAAGAGAAATACGAAGAAGAAGACGTAGAAGAAGAAGAAGAACCCGAATACGAATAATGAGAAACATAAACGAAAAAAGGAACTGCACACGAATAATACGGATAATACTGAGAATACGAATAATAGTAATCAGAAACTGATAACCTGCCCGTACGTGCCCTTGCGGCACGCCTCCCCCTGATCCGGGGCACCACGGGGGCACCACAGCAGAGGGCAAATACTAGGGGAGCGAAGAATAACATAAACAGAAGAACTCGGAGGTCCGCGCGGATTTCTCGGATCCGCGCTGGACCCCCCTCCCTGGCGCGCGGAGCGCGCCAGGGCGGCGCCGGAGGCGCCGCCAGGGTGGTCCAACGCGGATCCGAGAAATCCGCGCGGGCCTCCGAGTTTGTATAGTTGTGTCATTATTCGTTCTCCTACTACGGGGCCAAAAAGGCACTTCGTTCCTCATGTCGTGTTCCTTCTGGTAGCCCCTCGACTGCAATCGGCTTGGCAGGAAAGGGTTCTTTTTATGTTTATGTCATTCTTCGCTCCCCTATTTACGGTGAGGGCACTGGATGAGGAGGCACTGGATGAGGGGCTATCGAGCCCCTATCGGACTGCTGCCCCTTAGCATTGGATACCGTGGGTCCGTGTCGTGTCGACCCCGGCGTTGGTCCCTGACACTGCGGGGATCGCTCCCCCTTGAACGATCGGCCGTTCCCGAAACGTCAGATCGTGCAACATCGACCGATTCTGGGTAGCTGGCAACGTTCAACGTTGAACGCCGGCGGAGGGGTCGCCACCAGTCGACACGACGCGAACCTACCTTAAGGAACCATTGGGTATGACGCCTCCTGGGCGCATCCCTCAGCGAACGCCCCGACTCTGCGATAAAAAAGCTTGCTATGAGAAATCCAAAGGCACAAGTGCCGTCAATCGTTGAGCTTCCCGAGGTGCCCCAGTGCGAAGAAACGACCGACTTTAAGAACATGTTCGTAAGACCTCGTTGATCTCTGGGGCCAAAACACTGGGCCCCCCTCCGCCCCGAGGCAGGTGCTGGAGGCACCGCCAGGGAGAATCCAGCAACGGCCTGAGACCTAAGAAAATTCGGGCGGACCTCAGAACATCTACTTACTTGCACCTTTCTGTCTCATTGGAAAGATCTCCGTAACACCCGGATGCGAATCGCGCGCGCAGAAGCGAACGGGAGACTGTGCTGGTCAGGCTGGGAGGTTCGCGGGGAAAGGCCGCCTGGACCAAGTTCGGGGGCACCTGTCCGCCGCACCACGCGCAGAACCTGGGCGCATGCGGGGCGCAGTTCTCAGCCGACCGAGTGTGCGTATATTCCAGGCAACTGAAGAGCAGAAGGGGGGCGAGCATAAATGCAGACGCGTATCTACGCATGTGTATATGTGTATACTCATATATACATATATACATATAAAAATATATGTATACATGTATGTATGTATATATACATATATGTATACATGGATACGATAATAACCAGCACATGCGTGCATACAGGCACGCGTTTCGAAGAGGGGCAGAAAGTGTAAGAGAGAGCGAGAGAGAAAGAGAGAGAGAGATAACTGGACATCTATGTAACACATACACATTGCAGCGATGGGTAACGAGAAAGTGATATATACATAGAGAGAGAGAGAGAGCGAGAGACAGAGAGAGAGATCATGCGAGAGAAAGAGGGGTAGAGAAAGAGAGAGGGAGAGAGAGAGAGAGAGAGCTACACACATATCTATATAGAGAGAGGGAGAGACAGAGAGAGAAATAACTAAAGAAAGAGAGAGAGGGAGATGAATGTGCAGCATATCTATGTGTATGTATATGGCGAAAAAGAAAAAGAGAGAGAGAGAGAGAAAGAGAGAGAGAGAGAGAGAAAACACAAACATGTTAAAAGAGAGAGGGCGAGAGAACGAGCAAGAGCCCGAGCGAGAGAACGAGAAAGACAGCAAGAAATAGAGAGAGAGAGAGAAAAAGAGATGAAGGGAGCGAGAGAGCAAGAGAGAGAGAGAGAGGAACATATTACGAAATATCAGCGTTGACCATGATCCCAGGTTGACGGTTCACAGGCTCGCCCCCATCGCAGATGGGATGGGCCCCAGGGTTCCACAGGCCCACACCCCCGACGGGATGAGGGGGGACGACGACGAGCTCGAGCGCGCAACGACGTGCGATCACAGAGGAGCGCAGCGATCGGAGAAGCAGCGGAAGGACGAGCGACAGAGAGAGAGAGAGAGAGAGAGAGAGCGAGACCAGGAGACTTCGTGCGAACATCGCCCTGCAACTGCCCCTGCTGCTCGATGAGCCTGCACGTAACATGCTCGCTCTGGCGCAGTCCAGCCTCTCGCATCGGATCTCGCCGCGTCCGTGCCACGACGCCGAAGACGCCGACGACGCCGATGCCGACGGAAGACGACGTCGACGACGACGACGCTGGCGTTGACGACGACGACGACGTCCACCCTCTACCACGCGACGCCCACAGGCCCACGACCACAAGGGAGGGGGGGGGGAGCGATCCCATTTGCGAGGCTCGCTGGCGTAATTACCCATCAAGCGGAAAGGGGTGAGGGGGGGCGATTCCATTTACATTGAAGGGGGGGGGCAAAGACCTGGATCATATGTACATATATGCATGTGTATTTCTTTCCTCGAAGCTAGGAACATGTCCGCGCCAAGCACTCGAACGCGCAATGCAGAGCTGACGCGGAGGCCGTGCGCAGAGTCTCGGCGGCGAGCGAGGGGGGAAAGTGCGCATTTTGATGCCAAGGTACCGAAACAAAGTGGTACGCTGGCCAACAACAAATCTTGTCCCAAACCATCAGCGGCCGCTGTTGGGCAGGCGGTCGTTTGTCTCAAATGGGCACAAGCCACGGCGGCGCGGACAGCGAAACGTGTCCAAAATGAACAAGAACTGCTGCTGGGCATTGTGCCCATTCTTTCCGTACCCATGTCGTTCGTGTCGAAAAATTTGAGCAGGGACTGACCGTCCCGGCATTCCTATAGGCCAATCACGAAGTGATAACCCAAAAATGTTCGAACAACAAAAAAGTGTTCTTAGAACAGAAGCCCGATGTCTTAAAACAAGACAGTCGCAGCCAAAAATGTTCTAAGAACATCTCGTGGAAACCACAAAAGGTTCCTAGAACATTGCTTGGTAGGCCTATAGGCACGCCAGGACGCTTCGCCACTGCTTGACAGAAGAAACCTGGAAGGCCAAAGGCCTTCTGAGAAACTCCGTTGGCCTCCTCAGAAGGCCCTTGCCCTCTCACTTCCCACCCCCTGCTCGCCGCCGGAGTCTCCCCAAGCGAGGGGTGACCTTTGGTGCGTGGCGTTAGGGCTACGTCGGGCATGTCCCTCCACAGGAGGAATACTCAACAATAGTAAATCAATAGTCTGGGGACAATTTTTCTATTATTTTTGCAATGTGTTTTTAACATTTTATTTGTATAGTTTTGTTTTTCGTCCAAAACCTTTCTGTGGGAGGACACGCCCGACCTAACGTTAAGGGGCCGGGGGGAAGGCAAATCCACGCAATCCAGGCGTGCCGGCCAGTACTGGCGAGACCCCTCTGGGCCCGCACCACAAGGTCACTTTGGCGAAAGGTCGCCCTTACAGTAGGAACTCGACCACAAGAAACCTTCCAAAAGAAACCCAACCCTGAGACTCCAGGACGTCCCTTGATTTTTGGCGTGGGACCGTCACCCTGCCCATAGCAAAACCAGCGAAACCCAAGAAACCCAGGGCACTGGAGGCAAGCAGGGTGTTTCTTGGCACAGGCCCCCTTTTTACGCGCAGCCGACGCGAGCCGACGACGGCGAACGCGCAGGCGGGAGGCCAAGGCCGGCGGGACGAGGCAGGCGGACGGGCAGGCGGCAGAGGAGCAGCGCCCGAAAACCTCGAAGGGCACCCGTCGTGGGGACACACCGGGCGCTACCGGGACCGCTGCTCCCGGGACCTCTCCCGGGGTGCGCTCCGACCAGAAGCTCGAGGCGAACGAGGCGTTGGCGACGAGGGCCTCCCAGGAGACCCCCACAAAGGGAAGGGGGCGGACGGCAGCGGTACGGGCATCTCTCCCTGAGACCCGAGCTCCGAGACCCCATCTTCCTGCATCATTCCTCGAGCCTTCTGTCGGGCCTGCCCCCCTACAGGGGGATTTTCGACGAAAAATGAAAAAGATACCCCACAAGTAATCAAAAAGTTATCCAAAAATAGTTTGGGGACTTTTTTTTTGAATATGTTTTGACTTGCTGGGGGCATGTTGGGGACAGGCCCGACTTGACTCGAGCCGTGAGGGTCCAGGGAAGCCCGCGGCGGGACAAACAACAGCGCCCGCCGCGCAGACATCGCAGCGCCAGGATCTCGGGGCTGCCTCCTCCGAGCGCCCCGGGCCGGGCCCCCCCGACGCCGTGACCTTCTTGCTCCCGACGTCGTCGGAGGATGAGGAGGAGGAGGAGGAGGAGGAGGAGGAGGAGGAAGAGGATGAGGAGGAGAGGAGGAGGAGGAGGAAGAGGGGGAGGGGGGGGGAGTGTGGAGGGGGAAGGAGGAGGGAGGAGGAGGAGGGGAGGAGGAGGAGGAGGAGGAGGAGTAGGAGGACAAGGAGGAGGAGGAGGAGGAGAAGGAGGAGGAGGAGGAGGAGGACAAGTTAGGGGATCTGCGGATCTGGGTCAATCCAGACCCGGGGCGGTCGGGCCGTGCAGGATCCTGCGAGGTCCTGCGCCCAAGCCCGGGGTCAGCGCGGAGGATCCCGCAGGATCCTCCAGGATCCTGCGCCCACACCCGGAGGAGGAGGAGGAGGAGGAGGAGGAGGAGGACGAGGAGGAGGAGGCGGAGCAGGAGGAGCAGGAGGAGGAGGAGGAGGAGGAGGAGGAGGAGGAGGAGGAGGAGGAGGAGGAGGGAATGGGGAGGAGGAGGAGGAGGGACTGGGGAGGAGGAGGAGGAGGCATGGGAAGCCAGTGCGCCCCTGGCCCTGCAGGATCCTGCAAGGTCGTGCGCTCTGGCTGACCCCCGTCTGCAGTGACCCCCGTCTCAAGGCTCCCGACGTCGGCCCCATGCCCCGGAGGCCGGCTGCTCCTCCCGAGCCGCTCTGGTCGAGGGCCCCGAGGCCCTGTTTTGTGGTTCTGTCGGGCGTGTCCCCATACAGAGGGATTTTCGACGAAAAATAAAACATACCCCCAAAATGGTCCAAAAAGGTCAAAATATATTCCCCAAAAAAGTCCCCAGATTATTTTTTGATTATTTTTGATTATGTTGAAGGTATTTTTTTATTTTTCGTCGAAAACCCCCCTGTCGGGGGACAGGCCCGACTTAATATTATGGGGCTCCCAGGAGCCGAAGACAGCCCCAAACCTACCGTCGTGACCTGTTGTCTTCAAAACGCGAGGGGATCTGGGGGCGGCCACGCTGAAGAGCACCACCACGGCCACGACGACGACGCCGACGACGACAGCCTCGCGGCCGCGGCGGCGACACTCCTCGGGCGCGCTTCGGCGACAGCAGGCGCCGGGCAGAAAGGGGCGAGCTTCGGGCAAACGATCGACCACAGCCCTCCTCCTCCTCCTCCTCCTCCTCCTCCTCCTCCTCCTCCTATTGGCTCTGTGGCTGTCCGTTACCGCTGAGCGATAAGGCAGCCAAAAAAAACAGTACAGAGGGCAAGGACAAATAACTGGGGTCAGGCGGTGGCGGACGTCCAACCCGCGTGAGCCGACCATTTCAACGGGGATGACCGCCCAAAGCTCGCACCCGAGCTGGGGCCGATCCCATTCCTGAGAAGTCTCAGACTGTTCGCAGCGGCTCGGTCGCGAGGACCTCTCTCGCACTGGGCCCCCAGGAGCCGAGACAGAGCGGACCCGAAAGCGCCGCAACACGAGCACCAGGCCACCCGACCCCCGCCCAGCCAGAGCCAGTGGCTCCGCTGGGCAGTCCTCGCAACCTTCGGCGGACCGCCGCAAGGCATGATGGCAATGTGCGTCCTGGAACGGCCTCTCTCGCCGCAGGTCGCACACCTGTACTGCTTGCCAGCCTTCTCAATTAAGTGCCCGTTGGGTTCGGGAATTAAATGCAAAACCTGGGGCTTGGGCCTGCGAGGCCTCCTCTATCGCGTAACATCTGGAACATCCCTGGCAGACAGGTCGCTCATGACTTCAGCTATTGTCCAGGCCGATTGCTCAACGAGACTCGTACTGCGTTCAAGCTGGGCTTTAACTAGAGGGTTGGTGGGATGAGCCTGGGCCCCAAGCTTGGCAAGCCCGTCTGCTCGCTTGTTGCCCTCCTCCTCCTCCTCCTCCTCCTCCTCCTCCTCCTCCTTCTCTTGCTCCTCCTCCTCCTCCTCCTGCTCCTCCTCCTCCTCCTCCTTCTCTTCCTCCTCCTCCTCCTCCTCCTCCTCCTCCTCCTCCTCCTCCTCCTCCTCCTCAGGAGAGCCTCGGCCAGCAGGGCCGCGCCAGCCGCGCCCCCGCCCGCCTCCGACGCGCCCCAGAACCCCACCGGGCCGCTGGGCGTGGGTGGTCCAGAGAGGCGCCTCTTCCAACCCCAGGAGATCCCAGAATCGGATCGATAAGTCGGATCGGCGGTCGAAATGGATCGGATCGGCGGAAATCGGCAGCCGAGTCGGGAAAAGTCGAATCCGCGGAAATCGGCAGGCTAATAGGACTCCGTCGAGAGATCGGAGCCCAAGTCGAAATCCAAAGTCGAATCGAATCGGAATCGGAAACCATCGAAATCGAATCGAATCGAGTCGGAGGAGTCGAAACGAGACCTGCAACCCCCTTCTTCCCCTTCGGGCAGTGGTCGACACCTCCCCTCTGCCGCCTCCCCTGGACCTGGGGGGGGGGTTCTCGCGAGGCGCTGGAGCGTCCACGATGGCCCTGAAGATGGCGCCAGGAGGGCCTCAGAGGGCCCAAGATGACCTCCAAGAGGCCTCCAAAAAGCTTCCAAGAGACACCCGAGGAGGCTCTGAGGGGCAACTCGCCTGGGCATTGTTTCTGGATGGGCTGGTGGGAACACGCGAAAGGTCAAGACTTAAAACTCTCTTCGGATCTCTAAGAAAGTACGTACAATGCTAATCTACCAGCTACCATTATACGTACAATTTGCTCGTAGACTCGGCGAGGCACTGTGTAGAAGAAGAAGAAGCAGAAGAACAAAAACGCCATACACATACACTTTTGGCGCTCCGCGCGAATTTCTTGGATCCGCGCTGGACCCCTCTACCTGGCGCGCGGTGCTCGCCAGGGGCGACGCCGGAGGCGCCGCCAAGGGGGTCCCAGCGCGGATCCAAGAAATCCGCGCGGAGCGCCACAAGTTTATGTCTATGGCGTGTTTTATATTCTTCGAACCCATTATGGGGCAAATAGCTTCTGTAGCCCACCTCCTGCTCGAGAGCTGGGGCGCGGCAGAACTGGGTTCAGTGGGGCCTGGTTCGGTGAGATGTAGGGGAAGCCCCCCCCCCCGCCCCGTTCCACTAACCCGAACTGCCGGCCCCCGAAACACAGCAGCTACGGCAGACCTGGTTTAGTGATTCTGGTCAATTTCGGGGCTCTGGGGCCCTACCACTAAGTAGCCGGGTCCCCTTACCTGGGGTCCTGGCTATGCCCGGAGCTGGGGCGCGGCGGGGGTGAAAGAGCCGCGCCGCCGCCGCGCCCGCGCGGCCCTCCTGCTCCAGGGCCTCTGGTCGGGTGGCGCCCCACGCCACGGCCGCCGTGCCTGCGCAAGACGAAGCATCGGGCGAGAATAGGGCCTCCTCCTCCTCCTCCTCCTTCTCCTCGTCCTCTTTCTCCTCCTCCTCCTCCTCCTTCTCCTCCTCCTCCTCCTCCTCCTCTCCCTACTCCTCCTCCCTCTTCTCTTTCTGCGCCCCTCCCCCTCCTCCCCCTCCTCCTCCTCCTCCTCCTCTTCCTCCTTCCCCTCCCCCTCCTACTCCTCCTCATCCTCCTTCTATTTCCCTATCCCCTCCTCCTCCTCCTCCTCCTTCTCCTCTTCCTCGGCCCAGGGTCACTCGAGTGGGTGCCAACCCTCACTACACACGGGGACCCCCAGGCATTGGGGCTCTGGTCCAGGATTCCATAAGACGAGGCCAGGGCGAAGATAACATCGGGCTAAGATACAGTGGGAATCTGACATCCGGCCGCTCTGGATGTTGTCTCGGGCGCCGCGGCCTTTTCAGAGCACTTCGGAACGCTCTGAGAGCGTTCCAGAACGCTCTGGCAACGCTATGGACAGCCTTCATCCTCGTCCTAGCCCCGTTCGGTTCCACCTCGAGCATCGCGTGCGCCTGGCCTGTTCGAGGCCAGGGCTGGTGACACTCCTGGCGCAAATCCTTCTGCAGGTGCTGCTTTTGATCCTCCTCCTCCTCCTCCTCGTCCTCCTCGTCCTCCTCCTGTATCCCTCGTCCTTACAAATAATTCCTCCCCGTCGCACCCCCAAACGCGTCGGTAGGGCGGGCGGGGCGCTTCGCTTGAGACTCCCCCCACCATTTATCATCCTGAAGCTTGGCATTTTCAACAGCTTCGAAGATGGAGGGCAGGCGGTGTTCAAGCTGTGGCTCTCGCCTTGGCGCCGCGCAGATACGTTGTAAACAGTTGCAGCAGCTTCAAAGATGGAGGGCAGGTGGTTGTCAAAGTGTAGCTCTCGCCTTGGCAACACGCGCATTCATCAGTTGCACGGATGGAGGGCGAGTGGTTTTCAAGATGTTTCTCTCGCCTTCGCGCCGCATGCATTTGTTCTGAAAGTTTGCAGCAGCTTCAAGGATGAAGGGCGGCTCTTTCAAAATGTGGCTTTCGCCTTAGCGCAGCGAACATTCGTGTGGAACTTGCACAGCAATTTCACGGGCTCGCATGACCGAAGTCCCAGGGACGGAAGTCTGGCAACATTTAGGGTTGCCAAGACGCAGCGGTTACGTCTGTTCGCGGTGCTGAAATCCCAGGAACGGTCCAGCACGATTGTGGATGGTGAAGACGCGAAAGTCACGTTGGTTTCGCGACACTGCAGTCCCAGGAATTGTGTTCTGGCACAAGTAAGGAATGCCAGGACGCAATATTCACTTTGATTCGCGACGGTGCAGTTCCAAGGATTGTGTGTCTGACGCGATTGAAGATTATCATACGGTTGTCTTCCAGTGGTGCATTTCCCGCAACGGGCGTCTATTATTGCAGGGCCCTATGAACATGGAACTTGGAGGGAGGGATTATTGCAACATTGTTCAAGCCTGTTGGGTTAACACTGCCGCCTCCTCCTTTTCCTCTTCTGAAGGGCACCAGCGCTACGCTGCAGTCCTCCTTTCCCTTCCACTCCTCCCCCTTATCCTCCCCCCTCTGGGGCTCTTCCTCCTCCTCCTCCTCCGCCTCCTCCTCCTCCTCCTCCCCCTCCTCCTCCTCCTCCTCCTCCTCCTCCTCCTCCTCCTCCTCTCCTCCTCCTCCTCCTAAGCGACAGTGTCGCGCAACGCGTCCCCGCGTCCTCCTCCTCCTCCTCCTCTTCCCTTCTTCCTCTCCTTCCCCTCTCCTCACATCCTCATCCTCCCCCCTCTGGGGCTCTTCCTCCTCCTCTTCCTCCTCCTCCTCCTCCTCTTCCCTCTGGGGCTCCTCCCCCCGTCTCTCCTCCCCCCCTCCCCCTCCGCCTCGGCGCCTCTCCCCTCTTGGGGCTCCTCCTGGGGCGCCGGGTGTGCCTGCGGCGGCGTCCGCGCCGTTCGGGCCGGGCGGCTGGGGCCCCCGCAGCCGCCCCGCCTCGGCGCGCGACGCGGCGGCGGGGGGGGGGAGGAGGGCGCCGCGCGGTGGGCGGGGCCGCCTCCTTTCCTCTGCGCTCCGCCCATCCCCCGCCTCCCTTCCTCATCTAAAGAGTTGTGTTGTATATATATATATGTGTATGTATATATATATATATATAATATATGTATATATATATTAATATAGATATATATATCGGGATCCGCCAGAAGGGGGGATGGCCCTGGTGGGGGGGCCTGAGTTCGATACGCTGGTGCACCGAACTGCCGAACACAGGTGCCCGCATGCCCCACCTATTGGCAACTATCGGGGGCTGCCGGCGGCTGGGGGGCGTCTGTTTTGGGCGCTCCGTGCAAAAACCGATCGAACTCATACCCCCCCCGGGGCACACACCCCCTTTGCGGGAGCCCGAATATTGCAGTGGCCGTTTGGGCCCTGCTCTAGGGATTCCAAGACAATGTGCTACCACGGCCCGGTGCATTTTGAAGGGCATGCTCGTATCAGCCGCCGCCAGTTTTGTTCTGGTCTTCCTCTTCCTCCCCCTGTATCCTCCCCCGGGGCCGCCTCGCAGAGGGCGTCCAAGGAGGCGTTCAAGAAGGATGGGTCCCCAAACCACCCCCCGCACTCATCCTCTCATGCGTGCCTGCCCGCGCCGCTGGCGTCTGGAGGGGGTGAGGCTGTGGAACTGGGGACGGTGTGTCGGCATCACTGTGCAGGACGCTCGCCGTCGCCTGTGCCTCACCTGTGTGCTGGACTGGACTCGTTTCCTGGGCCCATCGTGCCTGGGCTGCCTGACGCGTCGGGACCTTGTGGTTCAATGGCTTGCCTAAGAATATAATGAACAACACAAACGCAGACACATCAACTTTTGCCGCTCCGCGCGGAGCGCCAAAAGTTCATGTTCATGTTTTTTTCATTCTTCGTTAAGAAAGAAGCTTCAGAAGGACGAGCCCCCGGACATCCACCACCTCGAAGAAATACACGCAAATATTTCCTACTCTCCGACCCCTGGGGACCCTCGCCGGACCACAAAAGACCATGAAGAAGAACGGCACGTGACGAGGAGCCCGCCCCGCGAGTCAAGACATCGGATCTCTCGGTCTGCATCGAGCCGGGGTCCGTCAGCATCGAGGAGGGGGCCCGAGTGGGGCAGCGCCTCGTCACACCGGCGGCCCAGGAGGGACCAGCCTGCATTCGGACAGGGATCGGTCAGCATCGACTAGGGAGCCTAAGAGACACGTGCCTCTTCGCATCGGGGGCCCAGGAAGAAGTCCATGAAGGATAAGTCTGCGTAGGATAGGGGTCGGTCACATTCGAGCAGGTCGCCCAAGGAGGATATCCCTCGTGGCATCGCAGGGCTCAAGAAGAAGTCCAAGGATGACCAATCTGCATCGGAAACAGATCGGCCAATCTGTAAAACAGGGAACTCAACTCTTCGCACGGGGGGCCCAAAAAGAAGTCCAAGGAGGATGGGGGCCCACTGAAGACGCGCCTATTCGAATAGGGGGCCCAAGAAGGAGTCCAAGCAGGAACGCTGTGCATCGGACAGGGATAGGCCAGCATCGGATAAGCGGGCTCTAACGGGACGTGCGTGACCTACTGGGTGCATGAATACAGTGGATCCAAGAAAGATCGGTCTACATCGCCCCTGAGACCCTGGCGCTGGAAATTGTTCACTGGCGCTTTCGCCTGGCTTCAGGCCCCAGGACCATCACATATCGATACGGCACGCAAACATGCAGCAGAAAGATGGGGTCCAGGGCTGCGGTCGTGGTTTCTTCGCGACGTCACATTTTTCCGCAACGTCGGGTCTCGGGGGGACAAGCGTCGTTCACCAAAGAATAGCAAAGCCCAAGACGGCCTGGCGCGCCTGGCCATGTGTATGAATATGGTACGTAGACACGCGCACTCAGGAAGATCGTTGGCAAGAATCTGAGGGCACAAAGCTCCGTGGAAGCCCATCCGCTCCAATGGGTGCAAGGGGTCGTCGGGGGAAAAAATTGGCGGCGCGCCCGAGTGGGCAGGAGGACTGGGAAAGACTTATTAGGAGGAGACTGCTACTTTAAAGGCGGCAACCCCGCATACGTAGACAAGGAGGGCGCGCCGCTGGATCTCTTCAAGTGGGGGGGAACCCCTCCCCTCCCCCTTTCCCCGATCTGTCGTCGGGGACCCCGCCCCCCCTCCCCCCCTTTCCCGATCCGTCGTCGGGGACCCCCCCCCCGTCCCCCCCTTTCCCGGTCCGTCGTCGGGGACCGCCCCCCCTCTCCACCTTTCAAAAGGGGGGGGGGTCCGAACTTGGCCGCCAAAAACGAACCCCCCCCCTCCTTCCCTTTCGCCACGGCGCACCCGGGCTCTGGACCCCGACCCCTGCCACCCTTAACGCTAATCCTCACCCTTACCCGAACCCATTGCCCCAAACAGCACTCACTACTCATTAAGCACTAACTACTCACTACTCGCTAGTCATTACTCACTTCTCACTACTCACTATTCACGACTCACGACTCACTACTCACTACCCACGACTCAGTATTCACTACCCACTACTCACGACTCCCTACTCCATACGCACTGCTCACTACCCAATACTCACTACTCACTAATCACTACCCACTACTCAATACTCACTACTGGCTAAACACTACCCGCTACCCACTTCTCACTACTCGCTACCCACTTCTCACTACCCACTAACCACTATCCACTACTCACACTTCACTACTCACTTCTCAGTGCCCACAACTCTCTATCCACTACTCGCTACTCGCTACTCCCTACTTCCTACACGGTTCTCGCTACTCACTATTCGCTACCTCCTACACCATACTCGCTACCCAATGTGCACTATACACTACCCACTACTCACTACTTACTACGCACTACTCACTACTCCCTATTCCCGACTCACTAGTCACTACTCACTAGTCACTAGTCACTACTCACTACTCTCTACTCACTACTCACTTCTCACGACTCACCGCTCACTACTCACTACTCTCTACACGCTATTCGCTACTAACTACCCACTACAAGCTAGCCGTTGCTCCCTTCTCACTACTCACTATTCACTAGTCCCTAGTCCATACTACTCATTACTCACAACTCACTACTCGTTACTCTCTACTCGCTACTCTCTACTGCCTACTCACTACTCACTGCTCCCGCCTCACTACTCACTACTCACAGCCCCCTACTCGCTACTCACTACTCACTACTCGCTATTCACTACTCGCTACTCACTGCTCACTACCCACTACCCACTACCCACTACTCACTACTCACTACTCACTACGCACTACTCACGACTCATTCCTCACTACTCACTACTCACTACTCACCACTAACTACTCAGTACTACCTACTCTCTAGTCACTACGCACTACGCACTACTCACGACCCACTACTCACTACTCACAATGCACTACCCAGTGCGCACTACTCACTACTCACTGCTCACCACCCACTACTCACTACTCACTACTCACTGAACACTACTCCCTACTCCCACTCCAAACTCAATACTCACTACGCAGTACTCACTACTCACTACTCTCTGCTCACTACTCACTAATCAGTACTCACCACTCACTATTCACGACTTTCCAATTCAGTACTCAGCACTCACTATTCACGACCCACTACTCCTCACTCCCTACTCCCGATGCCCTGCTCGCTACTCACTACCCACTACTCATTATTCACTACTCACATCTTTAAAACACACTACTCCCTACTCCGTACTCCCTACCCACCTTCTCCCGCGCAGAAAGGAAAAGCGGGAAAAAACCCGTCCCCCCCTCCCCGGCCCCGTGTTCGGCGCAAAGGGGGGGAGGGGGGGAGGGGGTTCGGAACCCCCGCCCCCCCCACAAGGGGGGAAGGGGGGGGGGGGGTCGAGAATCTCACCCCCCGTTTAAAGGGGGGGAGGGGGGGGGGGAGGGTTCTGGGAGCACCCCCCCCTTTTCAATTACAGGGTGATCCAGTGGCGCGCTTTCGTAGACAAGGCCAGCGCCTTCTGAGAAGCAGGGGTGCTTCCAAGAAGCCTTCTCCCCTCCTCCTACCCCCCTCTGCGCGTGGCTGGAGTGCTCCGTCGGTTTGGGCTCCGAGAGAGGCCCATCAACTCCAAGGGGTGCCGGGGTTCGCCAGGGAATAGGGGGCCTCCGCGGGGCACCCGCGGTCGAGCCAACTTCGCATGTAGCGAGCCCAGCGCATGCTTAGGGCGAAAACAAACCTACCTCGCTTTCGACCACCCTCGCTTCCAAGAGATACCAAACGATGCCAGATTGCAGCCTGTACTGGTCAGGCCGCTTGACGAGGAGGCGCGTGGTATGACTTGGTTTTGCCTGGAAGCGAAACCGGGGTAGGTATTTCACGCTCTGCATGCTCTCCAGTCCGCCAGGCCTTCTCAACTGGAAAGCTGGGGTGTGGGGGGGGGCTCCTTGGAAGGCAGGGGCCCTCTCGGCGGGGCGCGGAGGCGGCTGCGGTGCCTTCTCAGAGGCCGCGAGGGCTTCGAGGACTTGTGGCTTGAGGCCCCTGCCGGCCTCTTCTTCCCCAACGTCCTCCTCTCCTCCTCCCTCCTCCTCTCTCCTCCTCTCCTCCTCCTCTCCTCCTCCTCCTCTCCTCCTCCTCCTCCTCTCCTCCTCCTCCTCCTCCTCCTCCTCCTCTCCTCCTCCTCTCCTCCTCCTCTCCTCCTCTTCCTCGGACTCCTCCTCTCCTCCCTCCCTCCCCCGCTCGAGGAGGCCCAGAACGCCGGTGCCCCGCCAATCGAAAGCACCGCCCCCAGCGCCATCGCGCTCAACGCGGCGCGCCGCCCCACGCCCAGCCGCGCTGGCCGGCTGCCCAGCCCGGCGCCTGCGTTGAGCCTGCGCCCCGGGCCAGCAGGGCGGTCTGGGCAGCCGCGCGGAGAGCCGCCGCCTCGGCCTCTGCTGGCCCGCAGGTTCGGAGCCACGGGACGGCCCGCACCCGGCCGGCATCAGGTCGGCCAAGACGGCGAGCACGAGTCCGTCCTCCTCTAGATCGAAGATTGCCGCGCCTGCAAGCTGGCCGCGGAGAGAGACCAACTTCTGTGATGGGCAGTGGCCCTGATGAGAAGTCAGATGCTAAGTCTGCCAGGGCAGATGCCTTGTGTGAGGGAGGCATTCAGACAAGCAAGGGTAAGGTAGGGGGGTCGGCGTGGGCGAGCAGTAGCGAAGCTACCCTGTGTGTGCGTGTGCAGGCGTAGGAGCTTCCGATTGCAGTAAATATCAGCTTGCTACATAGTGGCCCTGTGTCTGCCGACCGATGTGAGCCAACTCCAGGTCCGCGACATAGAAGTGCAGGCGTAGGGATGTTGAGGTGAGGGGAGCCGAATAACCTGATATCGTACCAGATCGGAACTCAAGACAAGTTCGTTCGAAGCCTCTTTTCTAAGTGTAAGAAACGAGCGGCACACAGGCAGGAAAATTAGACCGACTGCCCCAATAAGGGCGGTCGCCAAAAGCATGCAAACACGCGCGGTTGAGGACAGTAACGGATCAAAGGGGCCTCTCGAACATGATGCGCCCAACAACCTTAGAGACCCTGACACCCTCATTCTCCTCCTCCTCCTTCTCCTCCTCCTCCTCCTCCTCCTCTTCCTCCTCTTCCTCCTCCTCCTCCTCCTCCTCCTCCTCCTCCTCCCTCCTCCCTCCTCCCTCCTCCCTCCTCCTCCTTTCTCTCATACTCCCTCACTCTCCTGCCCTCCTCCTCCTCCTCTCGAGGCCGTCGGGGCCCTACTGGACTGGACACTCGCATGGCAGGCCGGGCGTTGCCCGCCCTTCGGCTCCAACCGATCCCTGTCCTACACCCTCCCCCTCCGCGAGCGCCAGGTGCTCGACAAACAACATGCAGGCGCAGGATAGCGAGGTGGGGGGACAAAAACAACCGACTATGCTACTATCTCCACCTCCTCTCCTCCTGCTCCTCCTCCTCCTCCTCCTCCTCCTCCTCCATCTCCTCATCTCCTCTACTCTCCTCCTCTCCTCCTCCTCCTCCTCCTCCTCCTCCTCCTCCTCTTCCTCCTCTTCCTCCTCCTCCTCCTACCGCCCCCCCCTCGATCCTCCCTGCGTGCCGCGTCTGCGCCCACGGTGATTAACAATAAAAGACCCCTAACCCTTCGGGAGGGGACCTCAGTGGAGGGCCAAGGGGAGGGAACCTCAGTTATAGGAGGGCCCACAAAACATCAGGGATAAACATGTTGTTTGTTTTCTGCTGACGTGTCGAGCCACACCGCCCAGGTCTGTGATCCCCGACGCAATGCTCAGACGGGGACCTCAGTGAGGCCACGCCTTCACGGTGTTCCCAGACATCGGGCTGCTCCAATGTTTTTCGGTGCGTGGGCCCCAGAAGTCCAGACCCTTTCCCTCTGGACGGGTCTTCCGTCCTGGGCCGTTTCCTGACGCTCCCGAGGCCCGGCGAGGGCTCCGCCGAGGCCGAAAGTGGCCAAAAACCGCCCGCTCCGATTCTTTCTGTAAAACAGGGCTAGGATCGGGATAAATCGCTCCACAGCGTTCCGGAGCGCTCTCAGAGCGTTCCGGAACGCTCTGGAGCGGCCGCGGCGCCCAATACATCCTCCAAACCCGCCGATTCTCAGAGATTTCGAATTATCCCGATCCGAGTTTGTCCCGATCTTCGCGTCGTTTTATTTTGGAGCGCCGGATCTCTCGGTGATTCGAAGGTTGGGCCTTCTGCTGTGCCCGCTGCCCCGGGCCCGCCGGCGCCTGCCGCTGCTGCCGCGAGGGCTCCCAGGGCTCCGCGAACGGGTTCCTGCCCCTCCGCCCCGCCCTCGCCCGCCAGTGGGCGCCCGACGGCGCCGTCGAGGCTTCCCTCCTGCTGCCCCTCCTGCTCCCCCCGCCCTGCCTCCTGCATCCGCCCTCCCTCCCTCCCTCCTCTACCGCCTTCTCCTCCTCCCTCCCGCTCCCTCTCCCTCCGCTCTTCTCCCTCCCACCCACTCCATCCCTTCCTGCTTCTCATCGTCCTCCCCCTCCTGGGCTGGCTGTTTTGTCTGCTCGCCTCCCCCCCCAATGGCCTCCTCGCCGAAAAGGCTTCTGCGAATTGGCCGACCCGACACGACACGACCCACTCGTTCCTCCTCGGCCCTCTTCCCCCTCCGATGTCCTCCCCTCCCCACTCCGACCCACCTCTTTCTCCCTCCCTCCCTCCCTCCATCCCTCCTCTCGTTCCGCCCTCACTCCAACCCACCCCTTCCTTACCCCCGCTCTCCTACCTCCTCCGAGAAGGGGGGAAGGGTGGGGGGGGGGGAAGGTGGTAGAGACGAGAAACAACAGGTTCCCGCGCAGTCCCCTCCCCGTGCCCTCGAGGATCGGTGGGGGGGAGGAGGGGCCCGGGGGAAGAGGGGCAGGAGGAAGAGGAGGAGGGGGGCGAGAGGAAGGGAGGGATGAGAGGGAGGAGTGGGAGGGGAGGGGGAGGGAGGGAGCGGGATGAGGAGGGAGAGAGCATGATCGGAGGAGAAGGAGGAGTAGGAGGAGGAGGAGGAGGAGGCGGAGGAGGAGGAGGAGGAGGAGGAGGATAATGAGAAGGGGTCGGGAGGAGGGAGGATGGGGGGGAAGGAGGGGGGGCAGGAGAGAGGGAGGAGAGACGAAGGAGGGAGGGAGGGAGGGAGGAGGGAGATGGGTAGCAGGAGTGGGAGGGGCGCGGAGGGAGGGAAGAGAGGGAGGGGAGGGGAGGGGAGGAGGTGGGAGGAGGGGCGGAAGGAAGAAGGGAGGGAATGTTTGGAATTCGACGCTGATGAAGCTAGGACCGACCTCCGTGGTTTGGACACACCGCCACTCGGGAAAGGGGCGAATGGAGGGAGGAATGAAGGAAGGGAGGAAGTGATCGAGAGGGAGGAAAGAACTTAGGACACAACCCTAACATCTCCAGCACGTCTTCCATCACTTAAGAAGCAAACGCACAGAAGCCACAACACAAGCGACAACATGCTGCTGGTTCCTACGTGACCGACCACTGCGTCGGGGAGACGTGAGACTCGGGTTCGGGGGACTCGGGTTGGTCTGACGAGGCCATCAAGAAAACGACGAGACTTACTCTGAGATTTGACGCTAGCTCCCGCTGCAGACATCCAGCGAAAACTGGACCGCCAAGATCCTCGGCGGGCTCGTCCAAAAGCGGAGGCGAGCCCGAGTTCCGCCGCACTCGAGCCTCACGTTTCCCCGACGTGGAGCAACTGCAAGCTCAGCGGCGGCCAACGGTTTGCTCCACCCTCCATCGTCGGTCTTGTTCAGATAGCCCAAAAGTATAAGGGCGTTCTTTTGGAGACTGTGACTGGTTCGTTCCAATGACGCATTCACGCGTTGTGGTTGTAGCAGATACGCACCGCGAGATGTTCTTGCAGCGGTCCTGGAGATTCATGCGAATTCGAGGTGCCGAGGCCCGCCATTTCGTTGCGAGCGAGCTTCCGATTCCGCCGTTGGAACGGTAAAACGATCTTGAGCACCCCACTTCCCCTGCTCGCAAATCTCTTTAGGCGATCAAGTCGGATCTGGATGGTCGCACCGCAATCGGCAAGCGCAGCATTGCAATACAACCCGAAAGCTGCAACACATTGCAATACGAGTGGTGTACTCCAATCAGTTTAGGGCGTGCACTACGTCCCGGGCCCAATTGTGTTGCCCAGTTTGTGTACAATGCAACTGTCACAGCACAGTGCAATGCAACTCTCTGGAGCCATACATGTGTGATGCACTCGCCCGCTCGCCATACATCTGCAGTGCGCTGCCCGCGCGCGTCGCAAATGCAACGTGCGCTCTTTGACGGGCAAGGCACTCCATGCCAAGCGCACCAACTCTTGATGCGACTACGGCAGGTTCGTGTCGTGCCGACCCCAGCGTTGGTTTTTGACACCGCAGGGATCGTTCAACCTTGAACGATCGGCCGCTGCCGCAACGTCCGATCGTTCAACATCGATCGATTCTGAGTCGCCGGCGGCGTTCAACCTTGAACGCCCGCGCTGGGGTCGCCGCTGGTCGACACGACGCAAACCTACCGTACCGTCGCAGATGCGCCGCCGAAGTCTTCGAGCACACTCCGAGAAGCCCGCCTGCTGTCTGCCTCCTCTCTCTGCATGTCCCGAGGCCCTCTGCGGGCACGCGGTGTACCGGATGGCGGAGGGGCGCATTCTGACTACCTACCAGACCACCCCAACCAAACCCGAAGACCCCAATTTCGGGTTGGGGGGGGTACGGGTTCCATATGTGTTTTTTCAACGTTCCCCAACCCCCCCCCAACTGGAAATGGAGGGCAAATTGAGGTCTTCGGGTTGGGTTGGGGTGGTTTGGTGGGTGGTGAAATTCACATCCGGGCGGGCCCGTCGGATAGCTCAGTGCCAGCTTACTTTTTGCCACCGTCCCTCTTGCATGGACCCCCTGCTGGGCTGCCCAAATCTTCGTCCCTATTCGTACGGCGAGCACGATGTCGTGATGCGACGCCTGCTCAGGATGCTTCATCCAGGGAATCTGACGGCGCAGCTGGTGCGGAACACAAGAGAAAGTCTGGAAGCCCTGGAAACCTGTGCAATCTTGGAACGTGTCATTATCATGATCTCTCGGTCCTCTGGCTTCTTGCCGTGGGCTCAGGTCGGGCATGTCCTCCTACAGGCGGCTTTTGGACGACACAGAGCAAAACAGTCGAGGCATATACCCGCAAATAGCCCACAATATTAGAAACATCGCCCCCCAGGCAATGCTTTGCCTTTTTTGTTGCATGTTCCTCCTATAGAGGGCGACCGCCGAGAGGAGCCCCGGGAGCGAGCGCCGGCGAGGCCGAGCAAGAGGGCGGCTGCGGGGGGGGGACCCTGAGATCCTGGCGCCGCACGGCTTTCACAGGTGGGCGTCTTCTTATTCAGCGTTTCGGCGTTTGGCGGAAGAGAGGGCGGGGAGGGGGGGGGATCTGGATCCAGACCTCTGCTCAGTGCGACTGTTCGCGGCAGTGCGTCCATGATGGGGGAAGCCCCACCTGCTCGAAACAGGCGCCCCAAAACAGCCAAGATCCAATCCATGGGGGGGGGAAGGGGGGGGTGCGAGCGCCCGCGCCGATCGGCAAAACACTGAATAAAGAAACGATCGCCAGTGTGCGCTTTCGCCCTGTTTCGAGTCTTGGCGGCGCCCACAGAGGGGCAGGGGGAGGGGGAGGGCTTCTTCGAAGGAGGGCCCTACATCTACAGACGAGGCCCGCGCCTTCGAAGCAGGGGTGCTTCTAAGAAACCTTCCCCCCTCCCCCTCCCCCCCCTGCACGTGGCTGAGAGCCCCCGGCACCCTCGCGGATCCTCGTGATCCAAAAGGGGGTCCAGCTGAAAGGGGGCGGCGCAACAGATTTGGGGCAAGAGCGTTGCGAATGTGTTGCGCCAGAGAATAGCACTGCATTGTATTGCAGCTAGGGTGTTGCACGCGAAAACCCCTGAACCGATTTGCGCACCGGGATGTACTGTACGCCCCAAATCTGTTGCAACCCCGCAGACCTACTGCACCAAATCAAGTGCACCACACCCTGCTCGCTGGACCCCCTCTTGGGTCAACCAGAACGGAGCTATCCCGCCCGAGCAACGTGCAAGCAAGATGTGGCCTGGGGCTCTGGCCGCGAGCTTTCGCGATGCTGCTGTTTGTTGGCGGCGTCGGATCTCGAGGGGCAGGGTGCCGCGGCCCAGGCCCCCGACGTCGTGCTTCCATCGCAGTGTCGACCCCCGCAGGTCTGGACCCCTCCCTTGGGACCAGCCCGCCATCCTGAGCCGTTTTTTGTGGGCGGTCCCGAGGGCCCGGCAGGGGCCCCCAGAGGCCGACAACGGGGAAAAACCTCCCGTCGTGATGCTTTCCACAGCGCGAGGGGATCTGAGGAGGTCGAGTGGGGGGCGGACAAGGGGGGGGGAAGGGATGGAGGCGCTGTCGCGCGCGTGCGCTGTGAGGCTGGTTCTGCGTGAAGCGGCACCCGCTGGCGCATACCGCCCCCGAGGGTCAACACCAGTGAGAACTGGCATCATGCTGCTGCGGCTCCGCAGCCTTCCGGGTCGGGGATCATGGAGGAGGGATGGATGGGCAAGGGGTGGACGATCGGGGATGGAGGAAGAGGGATGGAGGGTCAACGATCGAGAAGGGGGGGGACCGGGATGGAGGGTCACAGATCATGAATTTTGAGTGGCTCGACAGAGGCAAATCCGAGAAGACCGTGGGTCACACATTCTGTGGACTGCGACGTAAGCCAGCAGAAACGATAATCTCATGGGTGATCATGGCACGGCGTTGCGGCCGACTTTATCGCGCGCCGCCGCAGGCATCAGCAGGCAGCAGGGGGGCAAGGGATGGAGGAGCAGGTATGTTTTGGGCGGGTGGGGGGGGCCATGCAAGCCGACGTCGCGAACAAGAAACACCCCGACAAATCACGACTGGAGCCCTACAGTGGAGACCCATGCCAAGAAACACCCTGCTTGCCTCCAGGGTGCCCTGGGTTTCTTGGGTTTCGATGGTTTTGCTATGGGAATCGTGACGTTCCCACACCAACAGTCAATTGGGACGTCCTGGGATCTCTGGGTTGGGATTATTGTGGAAGGTTTCTTGTGGTCGGACCCCTACTGTATAGACCCCATCCGTCTCTGCGCCCCACTTTCGGGGTATGGGTCGATCTGGGAAGGCCCATGGTGCCCGATCAACGTGGCACAAAATCGCCCGCTGCAGCAAAAAGTGTAGCGCCAGGACTTTTCAAGCGGCAAAGGGCACTAACTACGAACCCAGTGCAAAAACGTAGGCCAGGGAATGCGG